GGGGGCCAGGGCTGAGAAGTCGGCAGCGGGGGTGGGTTGGGGGAGGGAGGAAGGCCTACCCTTGCACGAATTTCGTGCATCGGGCCTCTAGTAAATATATAAGGTTGAACATATGAAATTGCTGACCTCTGATGTTTTGACCTACCAAAACAGCCGTTCGGTAAGGCTCAACCTAATCTTAGCACACATTTGTTTTACAAACATTTTATCCTACTTTTTTCACCTGCCCATATATTGCGTATAGCTTTCTATGTCTGTTTATACAAATATACTAATAAAAATGGCTCACAGCCGTTGTTAAACAATGCACTATGCACCTTCCTTCGGGGGTTTGGAATTAAGAGTGACTCCAGTCCAGGAATAGGCACCAGGCACTGTGCTAACAAGCTCTTCCTTGTGGAGCAGGCCCCCTTATGGCCCTCCCAGAGAAGATGAAAGCCTTGGAGAAGTTAAATTACTTGCCCATGAGCACACACAGGCCTGCAACACGCTGTGCCTTCCCCTCCTGAGGAAGCCTCAGGCTGTCTCCACCTCTTCACATTATAAACCGGCCTCGTGAGCATTCGTGCAGGTAGCTGTTCCCTGGAGCATCTGTGGGTTGGATGAGTAGAAATGCTGGGCTCGTGCTCTTTAAGTTTGAGAGATCCTTGCCCCCAGGAAGAACACCAATCACACCTCACAAGTAGGGCATTCAAGTCTCCTTTTCTCCACAGCCTCCTCAGGACTTGATCTGACTCGTCTTTGCGTCTATGTCAATTTGTTCGTAAAAAGCTCACTTTTGCTCTGGCTGGTGTTGCTAAGTGGCTAGAATGTCAGCCCATGCAGTTTCAGTCATTCATGGTGCCTGTGGGAGGCAACCAATCGATGTCTCACATCAATGTTTCTCTCTCTCTCTCTCTCTCTCTCTCTCTCTTTCTCTCTCCCACCTTTCCCCCCTTCTTCTCTCTAAAAATCATGGACACAGACAATACAGTGGTGGGGCAGGTGCATGGTAGAGGGGTCAGTGGGAAAAACAAACAAACAAACAAAGGGGCCCTGACTGGTTTGGCTCAGTGGGTAGAGCCTTGGCCTGAGGACTGAGGGGTCCCAGGTTCGATTCCGGTCAAGGGTATGTGCCTTGGTTGCGGGCATGTCCCCAGTGGGGGGTGTGCAGGAGGCAACTGATGGATGTTTCTCTCTCATTGATGTTTCTGACTCTCTGTCTCTCTCACTTCCTCTCTGTAAGAAATCAATAAAATATATTTTTAAAAAAACAAACAAACAAAGGGGACATCTGTAATACTTTCAACAATAAAGGTAAATTTAAATAAATAAATAAATAAATAAATAAATAAATAACAAAAATCCATGGAAAAATGTCCTCTGGTTGAGGATGAACAACAACACAAACTGCACTTTCGATACAGGAAGGGAACTGCCATTTGCTCGGTGCAGACCTAAGTCTGGCACTCCTGCCTCACAGCCACGGCCGGCGTTACCCTGTGTTACTGACGCCAACGCTTAGGCTCAGCGTGTGAAGGCGCCCACCCCATGCCCGCCACTGGAGTGTAGCGCTTTGGCTGGGCTATGCAGGGAGCTTCTCAGGGCCGTGCTTTAAGAGACTTGAAGGAAGATAAGGAGGCAACAGGTGGAAATATGTAAAACTCTTAGAGTAACGCGTGTCTCTCCAGAAGTGGATATTTCTCTCGTGTTAGTCACCCTGGGCTGTAAAGGGCATTGAGCCAGTGGCTCCTCTTGGACTGGGGATTGGTGTCCTGTGATCACAGATGTATTAGTCATGTTTTTTCTGGGTATAAATGATAGAAACCCAACTGAAGATAACTAAAGGAAGATGTTTTTTACTGGCTCACTTAACCAGAACTCTAAGCATAGCATTGATGTCAGGCATGGCTGGATCACGTTCTGAAATGATGACTCTCTTTATCTCTTGATTCTGCTTTTTTCACTGATGGCTTTATTTGTAGGCAGGTACTTCCCACAATGGGACAAAGATGTCAGCTGCACTAACTTAACAATTCCATGGAAAGGGTATACCTGTTTTTCACCAGAGGAAGCAAAATCCTAGGGCTGATTCTCATTGGCCCAGTTTGGTCATGTGCCCTTCCTTGAAGCAATCATTGTGACCTTGATGTGCCCACCCTTGCAGACAGGTGGGGTAGGGGTGCAAATGGTCAATAGCACAGATACTGAGAATGGGAGAGCGGTACTTCTCAAAGGAAAATCAAGTCTCTATTATCAAAATAGGGAGGGGGCAGAGTTCATGAGGAAGAAACTTCTGCTGTCCTCTAGAACAAGAGAAGGCGAAGCCAAAGATGGCACGTGAGACCATTCGAAGAGTGTGGGAAAGAGGGTTGGGGTGGGGATCAGGGATGGCTGCCCAGAGGGAAGTTAGGGGAAAGAAAACACGATCTGCTGAGCCCCGCAACATCCCACTTTGCCAAGTTGAACCTGAGGCCCAAGAACATTGGGGAGAAGTCTCAGTCCTTTCTCCCCCTCCTGTCACAGGAGAGAATAGAGACACGAAGACTGGGCGCGCATGCCCTCTGTAGATGTTGCTAGCTCTGCCTCAGAGGAGCTGATTCCCAGGTTAACTGATGGTGGAGTCAGCCGTGAGAAAGCACCTCATGCAGTGGCTGGCACATAGTAGGTGTGCACAGTGACTGATTGTTTATGCTGTGTGTTAAGTACTATAGCAGAATTACCTCAAGGCATCCCCCCATACCCCGATTTCCTTGTTCAAACTTCAACCTCTTGTGTCTAATATTATGGGTTTGTTAACCAACCCCTGCTTCCCCTCCATATCGTTATGGCCTCCATCACTTCTAGGCCTTGTCCTCCACATCTGTCCCCCACAGACCGTTTTCAGGATGCTCCTCTGAGCCCTCTGCAGCTCCCTTCCATCTCTACCAGGCCGGGTCCTGGAATCGCACACCGCCTACGGCAGCGGACACACCCGGGTGCCAGACAGGCTGCAGCCCGAACACAGAGTCTTTGGTGGGAACCAGTCAGGTTGGGGCTTCTGCCCTGGGTGACAGGCCGTCTCCCTGCCGACGGCCCCACATCGCAGAAGTGCTTGGGCTTTGGGGTCTGCAGAGCTGTGTTTGAATGGCAAGCTCTTGCTGGCGGGTGGCGCCTTCGATCCTCTGTGTCCTTGTCTGAAAGATGACAGACCCTCCCCTCCCTACACAGTGGCTCAGAGCGTGGCTGGCCTGGTTGATCCCAGCTCTGCC